AGTGAGAGGAATACAAGAAGAAGAACATCCAGAAATGGAAGAAGAAAGGGAAAGAGAACCTGAAAATACTTTTTTTGTAGGAAAAAATGGCACGAAATGGTCTAAACAAAAACCAAAAAAGAATGTGAGGACCAGGGCTGACACCATTATTACACATTTGCCAGGTGTGAAGCCTTATGGAAAAAATGCTAAGACTCCGATAGAGTGTTTTCAGCTTTTCATAGATGAAGAAATGATCGCTGATATCGTGAGAAACACAAATTATAGAATTGCTGAAAAATCCGAAAGATGGAAAAATTCACCACATTATGTGGAAACAACAATTGTCGAAATGAAGGCCCTCTTTGGTCTCCTTTATTTAGCTGGTGTTTTCAAGAATAATCACAGAAACTTGCATGAATTGTGGAACACTGACGGCACCGGCATGGATATATTCAGATGTACGATGAGCCAAAGGAGATTTGAGTTTTTACTCTCTTGTTTACGCTTTGATAATAAAAACAACCGTATGGACAGATTGAAAATTGATAAACTGGCCCATATAAGAGCTGTTGTTGACAAATTTGTCGAAAATTGTCAGGCGGTTTATTCGCCAGCAGAATATCTGACAATTGATGAAAAATTAGAATCATTTCGCGGTCGATGTTCTTTTAGGCAATACATACCAAACAAACCAGCGAAATACGGCATCAGAGTTCAAGCCTTAGTAGACGCCCGCAATTACTTCTTGGTGAATATGGAGGTATATGTAGGTCAACAACCTGAAGGTCCATTCAGATATAGTAACAGTCCAAAATATATCGTTGACCGATTGGTTGCACCAGTCTCAGGAACAAGAAGAAACATAACATGTGACAACTGGTACACCAGTGTTGATCTTTTTCAAGACCTCCTACTGAAGCACAAACTAACGGCAGTGGGAACTATACGAAAAAATAAGCCACATATTCCTCCAGAATTTCTAGAAACTCGCAATAAAGAACTATATTCAAGCCAGTTTGGATTCCAAAAAGATTTGACACTTCTTTCTTATTATCCAAAGAAAGGAAAAGTCACATTACTTTTGTCATCTTTACACCACGATGATATAGTTCAAGACAACGAAAAGAAACTTCCAGAAATGATCTCCTTCTACAACTTCAGTAAATGTGGAGTTGATGTAGTTGACGAAATGTCCGCATCTTATAGTGTTGCTCGCCCTAGTCGACGCTGGCCATTGACCATCTTCTTTTCATTGCTGAATACCACATCTATCAACTGTCAGCTTATATTCCGAGAAAATAACAATGGCAAAAAAATTCCCAGAAGACTTTTCATAAAAGAATTGGGCATGCAGTTAGTGAAAGAACAGCAATCGCAAAGAATAGGAAATCCTAGACTTACACGTGAGTTGCGCACCACCATTCGCACAGTTTTAGGTGATATTCCCGAACCGAAACCTAAAAGACTGAGGCCAAATCAACAAGGAAGATGTTCGGAATGTCCCAGGGCTCAAGATAGGAAGACTAGATACGTTTGTGAAGCTTGTAGTACTTTTATATGTATGGAGCATTCATTACTATACTGCAAAGATTGTGCAAATTCAATCGAATTGAATGCTTCGTAGCTCTTTCAATTTTTAACGCATTTCCATGATTTTTTTTTTAAATTAAAACTTACAATTTCAAAAATATATTCTTGTAATCTATTAAATCAATTCTTGTACATTTATAAAAAATACATTATAAAATTTGACTTTTTCTGTTTGATTTCATGAGAACAAACAGAAAATAATGAAAATAGAATAACAAAACCAGAATATCTGTAGAAATAAGTGGAACTTTTTTATATGAAGATGGGGTTTCTCACACCCCACATGTCGGAACTTGAAAAAAAATTCACATGTCACACGCCGGGTTAAGAAGTCCGGAATAAACGAAAGTGCCCAACAACATATAAAAGAGATTATGGCAGCATGCATAAACTTTACTAATATAGATCAAGTGGTAGTTTGGGTCGAACATTTGATTATCGTGCTAGGTTCAAGAAACCAAACTGAAGAGACAGAAAAAGCATTCGGGAAGCTATTGCACCTATGTTCTGATGATCAGAAACCAGATCTTCCTAAGGTGAAGATTGAAACGATTCCTCAGCAGTCAGATGCCAAGGAGGCCATTTATGCTCATAGTCCTTATTTCAAGATGTTTTCGAAGTATTTTCAGTCCATTCCACCACAAAGTGATACTGAATCAGATGCCGAAATAAATAATAATCCATATTTCAGCATTGAATTTCTGAATTTACTATTGAAGAAATATTTGCCTATTCTTCCACTTTGGACCGGAATCATTTATTACACTGATCCAAGTTCCTACACAAGATTCAGTAATGCGAATGTTGAAAATTGGTTTGCGCAAGTGAAAAATCAATTGTGTAATGGATTGGAAAATCAGAAATGTAGCAGGGTTATACGAATTTTACGGAAAAGAATCGTATCTATACATAAAGAAATCATGTTAGAGATTCCTAAACAAGGTTTGACTTCTAAGGCCTCTAAGGCAAAAAATATGAAGTTGACGAACTTACAGTTGGAACATTCCCAAAAAGAACAGTGGCATAAAAAAAATGTTCAGAAGGATCATAACTTTCACGGAGTTACTTTGAAAAGGACACTTACGGAGATGAACAAAAAGCAAGAATGTCATTCGGACTATGCCAATGTTAATTGAAAAAATCAAATAAAAAATCGAGACACGGATTTCAGGAGCGCCATGAGTTTGAAAAATACTGAGGATTCCAATGATGTGTCAACAGATGAAGAGGGTTTAACTTTTTCAAATTCGAAGAAACGAAAAATATACGAAAGAAAAATGAACGTTTCATCGAAATGCCACGAATTTTTGGAAGAACTGAAACATGTTGATTCAACTTATTTGTATCAGTTAAAACAGAAATCTGAAGCATGGTTAAATCAAAGGAGAATGCGTCTCACGTCTTCCAGTTTTGGAACTATTTGTAAGACAACTTCTGATAAAAGTAGATGTGCTCTTGCCAAGAGATTACTCAAATCAAATCAAATCAAAATATGCTTTATTGTCACTTAAGAATGTGATCCTTGTAGACAAAGCTGAATAGGTTATAAAAATAAAATAATAAAATCATGTATACAACAATTATCAACATAAATACAATTTTTCACAAACATGTGCACACATAAGGCTTTGTCTAAAATACTTGTTCATAAAAATCATCAACATTATAAAACACATAAGGGACTAACAAGTTTTTCAATTCCTTCCTGTATTTTTGTATATCCGAGATAGATTTAACAATAGTTGGGAGGTGATTGTACATTTTCAGGCCATTATATAATATGGAATCTTTCATTAGTGAACTGCAGGGCCGGGGAAGCTTCACCATCTCTGACTGGCGTGTGTTGTAACATGAGTTCACGACTTCGTAATTATCTCTGGTTTTGTGAATCAAACACACCGACTCTATAATAAACAAGGATACTACTGTTGACACTCTGTTCTCTCTGAATAATTCTTTACAAGAGGTTCTTGAATTAACTTTGCATACATATCTTAATGCCCTTTTTTGTAAGATGAATGTAGACTGTAAATTATGGTTGTTACAAGTTCCCCAAAATGCAATTCCGTACCTCAAATGGGATTCTATTAGAGCGTAATATGCCGTCATAGCAGCAGAATAACCCAACTCGTTTGATATCAATCTGATAGCATAGCATCCTGATGCAAGTTTATTGCATAAGTGTGAATCATGCAGATCAAATTTCAGTTTTTTGTCCACAAAAAGACCAAGAAACTTTGCGTTCAATTTATTTTCTATAATTTGATGATCCAGAGATAAAAGAGGCAACTCACATCGGAATGTTATCAGGTTCGTTTTCTGAATATTGAAAGAAAGTAGATTCGATTTGCTCCATTGATGGATAATTTCGACGTCTTTGGTTATTTTAATCTGTAGGGTCTCCACAGATCTATCATTCCATAATATGGTAGTGTCATCAGCGAAGAGAGTTATTTTCCCGGATATATTCAATTTAGTCATAACATTAATATATAGCAAGAACAACTATATGAAAAAGTCTTCCCAACACAAGCTATGAAACACGGAAACACATATGAACAAGAAGCAGTCGAAGCATATGAACTCCTTACTAATCAAAAAGTGGAGACTGTTGGTCTGATAGTTCATAGAGAATTTCCATTTTTAGCATGCTCACCCGATGGTTTGATTGGTAATGACGGAATCATCGAAATAAAATGCCCATTTACGGTACGATATGATCATCCGGAGAAATCGATTAAAAATAGAAAATTGCCATATTTCGATGAAAATAATGATTTTGAGAAATCACATATATATAATTATCAAATTCAAGGAATTCTAAATATAAGCGAACGAAAGTGGTGTGATTTTATCGTCTGGACATGGGGAGGTACTTACATTACTAGAATTCAACGAGATCTTGTATTCTGGGAGAATATGCTGAAGCCTCTCATGGATTTCTATTTAAAGTTTATTCTTCCTGAATTGGTTGATCCACAAAAGAAGATATCCAAAAGAGAATTATTTGATCAAGTCTCGGATCAAGTGGAATTGTTTCAGCCAAAATACTCCAAAGGAAATAAAAATCATGTATTGGAGTTTTATGAAAATGGCCTGGTGAGAAATGAGAAATTCTACCATCCTTGTTCATATGGAAATTTTGTTGTTTCAAAATATAATGAGCAATTTTCAGTTGAACTGAGGATAGATGATTTCCAAACATTACATGGTAGACAATGGTTGACAGATTTTGCTATCAATTATTGTTTAGCAGCTTTGCTCAAGCTACACCAGTCATCTGGTGATTATATTGTTCTGACAACTGATCAAACGTATGCGATCATGTACTGTTCGAATCAACTTGAAGAAGAGTTTTTCATGCAGTTGCCAAGAATAAATGAAAACAGCAAAATAGTTCTCCCAATAATAGTTGGCACCGTTCTCAGCAGGGATCATTGCCTTCGATAACCACTATACAAAGGAACATATTCACTCAAGAAGATAGTTTTATAGAAAGTCAAGTGAGATTTGATAAGTTGAAAGATTTCTTAGAAAAACGGAACTATCCGAAGAACATTTGGATAAGTGAAGACCAAACTGGCATAACCGGACGTATCCAGTATGATAGTAAAACTAATAATATAGTTGGTTTTGTTTTGCCCTTGAGAGATGGTCTTCCTATTACAAATTATTTTCAAGCCAAAACTGCCAGTGAGATAGAATTAATATTTCTAACACAGACCAAAAGTAACTACCTTCTGATGATAATGGCTCAGCCTCTTGTTCCAAATGCTCCTGCCTTTTCTCTGTGTGCATTTGGGTCGAACAATAAATTTACACATAAAGATGTTCAACGACGTTGGCAAATTCTAGAACAGTTGGCTGCAGAGAATGGTATCAAGATAATGGGTTTCAGTTCTGATGGTGACTCTCGATTACTAAAAACAATGAGAATAAAATCCCAGCTACCCTATACTAAGACTGAAAACCAAGATCGAAACCAAGATAAAACGCCTTCTGACGTTATAGATCCCGATTGGTTTCAAGCCAATTTACATAATGAAGGATCCTTCTGCGTACAAGATACTGTACATATTGGAACTAGGCTCAGAACAAGGTTTCTTAAACCATCTATAATGCTGCCAATTGGAAAGTGCATAATATCACCAACATATCTGACGTCACTAATGAATATGGTCACAAAAGACAAACATCTTTTATGTCCGAGCGACCTCAAAGGCGACGATAAAATGAATTATGATTCGGTGGAGAGAATCTGTGCCCCTCAGGTGCTGGAGTTGTTATCTGAGAAACTCCCAGACAGTAAAGGGACGGCAGCATACTTGAAAATTGTACGATACGTCCTTGATTCTTTCCTGTCAAAAGATTTAACTCCTCTCGAGAGAGTAGAAGAGATATGGTATGCAGTTTTCTTTTTGCGTATTTGGAGATATTGGATCAAGATTATGAAGTATAGCGTGGTGGACAACTTCATAACATTGAGTACTTACATCAGTATAGAACTGAATGCTCATGCTCTAATTCTGGTCATCAAAAAAATGTATAACGACAATCCAAGTGAATTCTGTCCATGGATAATGAGCAGCCAGCCATGTGAGAAAATTTTCAGATCCATCAGATCAATGACCAGTACTTTTTCTACTGTCACCAACTACAGTATGCTCGATATTTTAGGAAGGCTTACAAGAATTCAGGCAATAAATGAAATCACCTGTGACACAGGTAAGCAAACTAGCAGTTAACTATTCGTTCAACAAGTACATGATTATCATCATACACAACGTGGAAATAAAATGAGCCAGCTTGCTCTAGTAAATTATGATGCCATTCACCCAAGCAAACAGTTTCTAATGATGAATAGCCATGGTAACGTTATTAATACCTCCAATAGGAATAACAGGTTTCAATTTCTTTTTCAATCGCATATTGATTGATGTAGTAATTTAGCTAGAAATATTCTTTACAATTTCAAATTGTAAAATATCTGCTTATTTTAAAATAGTTCTGTAGCAAACTTATGAAATTTGGAAAAATATTGTGAAGTTCAAATTTAAAAAAAAATGCATAAGAGCTTACAAGGCACAGCAGCTTTTCGTCTGGCGAGCAATGGTAGTGAATTCAGACTATTGAGTGACAGAGGGCGCCACTTGATTTGATATAGACAAAACCAAGAAAGTTATAATAATATTCAGTCTAGCTTCCTGAAAGAGAAATAGAAGAAAAAACACTGTGTGAACTCAGATATTATTTAATGAGGATAAAATTCAGTTTTTTATTACCTACAAGGTAGATTGCTGTCTAAGTAATATGATAGAATTCAAAATATTCTCAGTAAAAGTTACTATGTATGACCAGTATATTCAAAGACCCTAAAATCCCTTTTATAGTACTATAAACCGGATGCACATATTATCATTATGCTTAAATCATGAAATGGACCTTTAGCAACCTATTAATTATCATAAAATAATCATGTTGAAGAATACTAGACATTGAGACATCCTCAAGAAAATAATAATGGTAAATTCCAAATTTTGGGTGGCTTTCTTACTCAAACCACAGCTAGTAGGGCAACTAGCAGGGTGGCATCCTGACGGAGTTCTTAGCCTGTTTGGCCAGACTATTCAATGGCCAGTCCCCAGAAGAAAGATGGCTCCCTTCTGATGAAGTCTAGCATGTGCGGTCCAGGTCCCAGCCAGCAAGAAGCAGCTTCCAGGTAATGATACTGCGAAGCCTGGTGACACAGCAAAGATTGATGACTCAGCACAGACAGATAAGCCTGTGGAGACTGAAGGGACAGGGCAGCCTGAAGATCCTGCGCAGACTGAAGGGACAGGGCAGCCTGAAGATCCTGTGCAGACTGAAGAGGCAGGGCAGCCTGAAGATCCTGTGCAGACTGAAGAGGCAGAGAAGCCTGACAATCCTGTGCAGTCAGAAGAGGCAGGGAAGCCTGATGAGCCAGCGCCGGTTGGAGAGCCTGCAGAGCCTGGGGTGCCTGCAGAGACGAAAGGGCCTGGAAGGCCTGCAGCGACGAGAGATCCTGCGACGCCTGATGAGGCTTCATATAGCCTCCTGCTCCAGAGAAGGAATCTCTCCGTTGAGAGAATAAAATGGCCACGTGGTCGACACGGGGTACCAAAGAGGCCCACAGATCCCAAGAAGGAAAGGCCTCACTTTTGGAAAGGTTCACCACAAAAAAATGGGCGATGCCCATCTTGCCGAGGATGAATGTCGAAGTGGCGTCTCGACACTTTGGGAGGGATAGCCTCCTGCGCCTTTTCAGAACTTTACATCCCAAAAACTAACAATAAAAAACAGGATACAACTCATATGCAAACTCTGCGCACTAGAGGAAATACAGGATGGCTTTAAGCGCCCTACATGTGACTGAAATACTGACTTGTGATTCGCCCAGAACGAAATGACAGCTACGAATAAACCGAGCATCCCCGACTTCTTCCGATTAGGATTCCACAGGGCCAGAATGAACAGATGCGACACGACCTTGACAAATACACGGAACATTGGTCTGCGCCTTCCAAAGATGACTAGCGCCAGTACCCTGAAAGTCATAAAACTATCCTGGCTGCAATAATTCACTTTACCGTCCCACTATTCGCTGCAGGTTCGGTGTAGATCAGGTGCAGGTTAGGTGTAGGTACCCTTGCCCTCATCATTTGACAATTGGCAATCAACTTGATGGAAACGTCTAATTACATTCATATATTTCAATGACAGCTCAACAATAGTAAACAAAACAATAATCATTGAAATTACTGATATAAGTATGAGGACTATCAAATATGGTAGAAAAAGAAAATATACCAGCTAAATAATGCACAGAGGCCAAACACAGGGCCTACTCTATCTTACCGGGCCGGAGCATCGCTTTCGTGACGTCACACTAGTAGGGACAAAATCAAGGCAGTGGAAATTGTCTCTCCCGTTTAATTGATTCACCTCGGGAAAACGGTCACAGTTAGCAAAAAATATCAAGAGGTCAAATATGTACAGAAAAGAATTTTCCAGAAGATGAATCAAATTTCACTGATTTACGATCATTAATTTCAGAAATATGGCATATCAAAATTAATTGACGCCATTCAGAATTGTCCTTTTTCAAACAGCTACCAAAATTCCAATATTCAATTAACAGAAATGATTCAACCATGAAAAGATTTCGCATAGTATCTAGATTGACTGAGTTTTTTTTTGAAATTCCCAAGGGCCAACAACAAACCGATATTTCAATTCAAGTAGAACGATGATTCAGGTGTTCATTACAGAATAGTTCAAAAAGTTCGGACGCCTCCCATGCTAATCCTATCAACTGTGGATATATGCTGTCACTGACTTTTTTGTAGGAAATTTGATTGCCTACAAATCGGTATAATACACATCCACTTTATCTCGAAGGCTTTTAGCAGCGTTTATCTCTAAAGATGATCAGGACGCACTTTGATGACGTTCGAAATCCTATCACTCGAGTGTGTTATTACACAAAAACGCCTATTCGGTATCAATTATTTTCTGCTGAAGAGTATATATTGAATGATAACGTTAAATTCATGAAAAAAATTTGATTTGAATATATTTGAAAACTATCAAAATTAAAAAGAACAAAATATGTGGAGTTCATATGAACACACCCTAACAAAAATAATTGAAATAATATGTATCTCAACAATGAGAGATATAAAAATGAATATAACGAATTGAATAACAAAATACCCAGAACAACAATATATGAAAAGATAAGCAAAAAAAAACGTTGAATCCTTATACACATACAAAACCAAACAAAATAAACTGTATAAATGATCAACATAACAAAATAAAAAAAATTTATAGATATCACAAAATGAAATACACTAATAACAAAAAATATATATACATCATCTTAATCACAAACTAAATATTGAAATCTGAACTATATCTCATCTTGAAAGTTTAGTGATTTTTCTTTTTTAATTTTTTTTTATTTCGCAATAATAATTGTTCAACGGAATATTTGAAATGGTTTTAGTTAGAGAATGTTCTGCTGATTAAATCAAAAGACCCACAACTGCAACATCGATTCTCGGAATAATTGAGAAGGGAATTGATTTTAATTTCTGCTAAATTCTCCAAAACTTTATGTTGTGACTTACATTGTAAAAATATTGTTTCGAATTTTTCAGACACCAATATTAATTGGTCTGAACCATACGCCATTTAGAAATGAAATAAAATAAAAAGTATATCGCCCTTTACCAGTCTAAGGAATTATACCGCGAAATCGTAATATAGCGAAATTTGGGTAGGTAGGTATAACGGCCCATTTTTTACGCGCTCTTTATATTTAATTTCTTTCGGACTCATTGTAGGTAACTCTACAATTTTTTCACTATTCAATTGATTCATTATCGTAGTTTGATATATTGAGTTAGTTTCATCTTATTCTAATTCCAAATTTACAAAAAATAGTATTCTGTAGTACAACGTCCTGATTTTCAATAAAATGGAATTTCGTTACAACGCCATAACTCGGTATTGATTCATCCTATTGGATTCATTTTTTCACCAAAAGTTGAGGAATTTGTTGGGGATCATGTCGTCTCGATTGAGTGTGCTTCTAAAATTTATAGTAAATGAGCTATAGCCTATCAATTACCAACGCATCATTACGGACTGATGTGAAATCTCAACCTACTAGTGTGACGTCAGCGTCGAGAGAGAGGGGATAGACTACGGCCCGGTGAGATACAGTAGGCCCTGCCAAACACCCATCAAAGTCAAGGTCTTGGAAGAAATCCCTGAAGCACAAAAATCACACCCAGACTGAAAGAACATGCTGAACCAGGTGAGTACTCTCTAATTGTTATTTGATCAAATTGTTATATTTACTTGTATTTTCAGGTCGTAGAAGTCTGATCAACTAAGGGAACATCAATATTATCTAGTGTCATGTAAATGTAGAATATAAATAAAGAATTTCAGATACAGTGTCTCAATGCTTTTATACGTGAATTATAAAGATGGAACTGAAAATTCGAGGAAGGGCAATTTTCACGTTACAGTTCATAATACGTATATTTTCAGAGAACGATATAATTTATCCAAGGGAAAACAATAGACGACTAGGGACAAAAGAATTACTGGACAAATCTCAACAACCCGATATTTTGCCTTCATGGATTCAAATAATGGAAACGGTTACCAGAACACAAAAACAAGTGGAAAATGACATGAGGGATCTGGGAATAGATATTGAAACTAACGAATGGGTATCAATGGATGTAGAGACTTTAAATTATTCTAATTTAGATGAAGGTAAGAAGATGAGTTACAAAATATATAAATATAATATTGTAGCTATTTCATTATTCCTTTTTTTACAGAAATCGAAATGGAAAGAGGACATGTTTCGATATCGGAGTGCAACCCACAACATTCTGCAAATAGTAAGTTTGTTTAAAAATGATTGAAACACGAATACTAATTTTGAAATTTTGAAGCAGTTGCCGCTGATCGAGTAGCAGATATAGACGAATTGGATAATGAAACAATAAGCGACCTACATATTTTAAGATCTCTAGACGCTGAGGATTCGTTGAATTTCAAAGATTTATCAGATAAGTTTTCTGAAAAAGATGATGATTTCTTCGAGAGAAGCTCTTATGTTAAAGTATATCATAAAAATAAGAGAATTGTGATAAGAAAATCAACGCTTTGCTGGTTCTTGTCTAATAAAGATAAAAAAATGAGCTCTGATAGACTTCAGAGAGTGAAGTTTTTGGTGAAACCTAAGCAGGATATTGTTAATAATACACGTGAATCAGAACAATTAGTAGAAGAAAAGGAATCATTGAAAATTGGTGAATGGGTAATATTTTCCATCAACTCCAAACTCGATAAAACAGTTAGTGAACCTTTGAGCTTCCTGAAAGTAGGGAAAATATTGAGCTTCAAATATCTGAATAAGAAAACAAAAAAGCAGCAGGAATATTCATTAGACTCAGCACCAGTACTTTCCAAAACTGACCCTAATGTTGGAGTACTATGCCAATGGTTCTTACTGAATCAAGAAGGGGAAATGACGCTCGACGATGGCTTTCAATTATTTCATAAGATCGGACTGTACATATGTAGTATTGGTGCACCAACTCTCAAAGGAAATTACCTTTCAATTGATAAAGAAAATGTACAACATATTGTTGATCGCTACCTAGAAATTAGGAATGGTAATAAAAAAAATGATGACTCGTCTGATAGTGACGTTGATATTATTTATAACGATAGTGATGATAACTTGGAATTTAGCAACCAATCAGAACATGAAGAATCTCCTCCTTCTCAGGCTCTACCGGAACTGGAAAAATACTATGCCATATTTTATGAGGACAACTTCTACATCGGCAGGGCTATAAGACATTCTCAAACGAATGTATCGAGATTCAAATTCCTCAAATGGGACCTAGATAGATTGATTTGGCCGAAAAGTGAGGATTATCAAGAAGTTGATCACAAATTCATTTTGGATGGACCTATTTCACTCTCAGGCGTCGGTCCATTCGAAATGAAGCGCAATGATTTCATACAAAATAAGAAAAAATTCAAGCAGTTCAAAAATATTATTTAAATTGTAACCAAATCTTTATTTTCATGTGACAATGAAATCAATATACAGGGTGTTCCATAATATATGCGCAGGACTCCAGGTTGTGATAGCTCGTCCAAAGATACTGAAAAAACTTTCCATTAACTTATCCACTAAAATGCATCATTTTCGAGATACAGGTTGTCGTAATTTAAAAATGAAATTCGCGAGGGGTGATCCACTGGTGGGAATACCTGTACATTTTGCTGGAAATACTGGCAATTATCAGGAAATACAAGAAATATTCAGGCAATACACGCAATATTTTGGCAATACAAGAAATACATTGGAAATACTGGCAATATGACGGAAATACAGGAAATTTTTAGGGAATACCGGCAATACATGGGAATATTCCTCCTCTTTCCTGAGCTATATTCTGTTTATTATCACTCTTTAACAAGTTGTGAGTGCCTGAATCGAACATCCTCATTCCGTGCATGGTGATTTAGTCTGGGTTTTTTATATTTGTTGAAAATTAGGAGGTAAGTGATTTCTCATATTCGATTTTTTTATTCAAATCTTCAATATGAAGGTAAGTGAACCTTTTCATCATTTTCATACAGGGCAAGTGAAAAAGTACATTTTTCGAAGGAACCCCCTATTCATATTTCAATGGTTGCGTTTTGATTATCCATGATTTTTATACAGGGTGTCTCCAAAAGGTATCTACAATATCAAAAGTAATACGGTAAATAAAGTTTATAAATTTAAAAAATATATATTTTTATTTTCGAACGAGCTAAGATTTTGTACAGACCTTTTAGAGACACTCTGTGTATTAGAACATATTTATCAAACCATACATCAGTGATGGGCAGATGTGTGTATTGAAGTAAATATCTCACGATCGAGAAAAGATACTTTCACATTTGTTTCTTCAGAGCATATCAGGATACTCATACAAAAATATTCAAAAGACAAACATCTTTTGAGCGATAGCTATTTGAATGGTAAGAATAATTCATCGAATTCCTTTGACTTTGCCGATATTTTCGTGTGATTCTTTTTATTTTATTTATTCGAAAGAAACAGGTTTTATACCTAATTATATGTTCCAATATATATTCTCAATTAAAAATACGAGAAATTTTTGAAATAAGTACATACATATATTCAGCACATCGCTATTATAAAGTCTATCGAATATTCCCATGGAATCAGATTTTTCCTAATTCTTCTAATTACCGAGAAATTTCATTTCGTAAATTGAACAAAAACAGAATAAAACAAGTACGCCGCTTTAAAAGCTTTCGATTGCCTGTACATTATTTGATGATCTCAAATATTAATTTTTAGCGGTTTATTAGATTTCATCATCTTTCACACCTCTATGAATCCTCAGAAACTCCTGATCAATGGTAGTTTTTTTATTTTATCAGGAGCGGTAAAAAATCATTATTGAAAAAATTAAGCATTTTAGGAACAATATGTTAACATCGTTAGTAGAAATTCTCTTAGAAAAATATCTCAGATGATTTTATTGTACCTTATTTTTTCGTAGAAACTGACAAAATGAATTTTGACGCAATTGATAAAATGTCTTCATCACGAGTGACAAATTTATTGAGCGACATCCCAGAAGCTGCTGGAACAAGACAATATTTGATTCTAACAAGAAGTATATTGGATGCATTCCTAGATAAAAACTTAGAACCAAAGAAGAGAATATATCTCATTTGGTATTCCACTTTATTTCTGAGGATATGGAGGAAATGGCTGACTGAAAATGCTCACCCTCTTAAAGATAATTTTATCACAAGCAACGCATATACCTGTATTGAATTGAATGCACATAGTATAATATTACTATTAGAGAAATGCCAGGCAGAAAATATTCCATTTATTCCATGGTTGTGCAGCAGTCAACCATGCGAGAAGTTTTTTCGTCAGATTAGATCGATGACCAGCACATACTCAACAGTCGTAAACTTTTGTCTGTTAGACATGTTTCGCAGATTGAAACGAATACAAATGGTGAATAAAATAAGTACTGATTTAGGTGAGTTTTAACTACTATATTTTAATTTATATGAGTTTAAACTACTATATTTCCATAACAGTTCTAATTGAACCGAGCTTTTCATCCTTCAACCCAGAATGTATCGCTATTTTCCATGTACCTATCATAATTCTCGATATTTAGCTTTCACTAATTTTCAGATGGAACATTTAAGTTTCCTCGAGAGGAAAATTCAAAGCTTGGTAAAATCTCTTCAAATGGATCTTCAACCTGTGAGGATGTAATAAAATCAATAACCAATGAAGAAATTTTAGAGTGTTTGAAGGAAGCGCATTCTCAGGCGGAAAAGGACGCTGACAGCTTAGGTGTAATTTTGAAAGAGCATTCGAGAGGAACAAGCTTGGACGTGCATATTACCAGTGTTGAAGAAGAAAGTTATTCAACAGAAGGAGAAGACAAAAATGGAACCATATCGATGAATGGAATAGAAGAGGAATTATCCGATTCAGAATACAATAGAGATTTGTTAGATACGCATGAACTACCTGAATTCGAAACTTTAGATCTTAAGGACTTCAGCCAAACAGTTCATGACCCGAAGATTGATTCATCTTTTCTGAAAGTTATTCTGAAAAATGGGAAGGAATTGGTTGTCAGGAAGTCAAGTTTGTGTTGGTTGTTCTCAAATAAACAATCACGTCTTTCAAGTGATAGAATTTATAGGGTCAGAGGAACAGGCTCATCCACGTCATCTAATCCCCTCGCCACTCCCAAAGATAAAATGAAACGAAAACAGAAGAAGAAAATTATTCCGAAAAATACAATAGATCAAAAACAATCAAAAAAATCGCTGAGTACTAAGAATATTAAAAAGAGAACCTCGAACAAAACTGATACTGATGCTACTGACACCGAGACTGACACCAGTTTCGATTTTGAAAGCGAAAGCGAATTCGAAAATGAAAGTTTCGAAGAATTGACCGCTGATCGAGCCGCTGATGAAACTCGTAGTTCACCCGACAGAGTAGTGTTGACCGAAGAAAAGTATTATGCCGTATACTACGACAATCAATTCTACCTTGGTAGAATATTAAAAATATTCAATGACAGCAATTGGTGCACTGTGAAGTTCCTTCAAAAAAATTTAGAAGCCTATATTTGGCCGAAAAAAGATGACATTCAAGATATAGAAACGAATTTTGTTATATATGGTCCAATAGATTTGAATGGGATTGGACCTTTTCAGCTGAATCGAACAACTGAAGTTGCCATCAAAAAAATATATAGGGATTTTAGGAAAACTGTTCAGTCAGAGTGATAATATTGTATATGGAAAAGAACATTTATTTCTACAAATATTGGAATCCACATATACGATAATTAGGTTGATCTGTTTACCTTTTTTATTCAGGAACATTTTCATTTTATTTTTGAATATTCCATGTGTTAATTGCATAAAGAATATATTTTTCACTTTCTATTCAATACATTTCATGTTGACAACCGTTCCCAAAACGTACAGATTTCAACTTCGATATTTGTCTTCATATTGTAATTATTTTCGATACATTTTTATACAAATAAGGTGTCATTGTGATGAAGAAGTTTCGAAAATAAGATAGTCGGCGCTCAAATTTGGTGAGAAAACCACTGGCGCAAATAAAGGTTTTACCAAAATTAATTATCTTCATTAATAAGAAAGTCATGGGGCATTAAATAAATCGGCGAAATCCTCATTTAATTTGTGCTCTGGGCAACTTGATTAACTTTTTTTTATCTCCTTTAATAAGGGGTGTTCCGGTGTTCCCATGAGAACGCGTTCAGTTTGAGACACCCTGTACATCATTTCAAATACCTAACGGTCAGACCAACTATATTCTCATTTCTTTTGATTGTGCTGGTTGATCACAGAAACAAATTTATTCATCGATTTGCAGTTTTATGACTACTTATATTATTCTTCTTTCCAAATTTGAAGAGTATTCTTCTAATAAATTCAGAGATAATGAGCGAAAAACCTTGAAAAAATTGTATGGAACAATAATGTTTCTTTCTTCACATTTTCTTAGTGTTCAAAGTAGATGATCCCTTCAGAATAATTCTGGGAATACAGAAATTATCTATAGGAAATACAGGAAATGTTCAGGAAATACAGGAAATATTCAGGAAATACAAGCAATAGTCAGGCATAAAAGCAATATTCTAGGAATCATAGGGAATATAGGCAATAGACTGGAAATACGAGCAATACTGGTTTTATTGCCAGCAATAACAGGAAATACTGGAAATATAGGCAATATTTCCTAAAGTATTGCCGATTTGGCAATACCCGTACATTTTTCAACCCAGTGGATCACCCCTCGGAAATTCGTTTTTTGCGAATATCTCTGGAACAAGACAGCTTTCGCAAACGTTTTATACTCATAATAGGCTTTGTTTTTTTTTTGCAGAATTTTGTTTTTCTGATGTCACAATCGATTTTGTAGGATTAATCGGTGTTTTTCTCCCCAACTTCTAAGCTACTGAAAGAAGTTCAGTTCTGAACCACCAATGTTCTCTTCACAAAAAAGTAGTCTTGGTCGTAACCTCTCAAGTTGACCGTTTTAGAGAAAATTCAACTTTTATGTTTAAAAACATGGTCCATTTTGCGTGCATTGAAGCTAACGGCAGACATTTCGAACATTTAATTCAACTGGGTACGATTTATTGTTTTTTCTATTATTTCGTTAGGTTTTTCGTTACTTGTGCTAACGTTTGAGTCTATTGTGTTCAATATGTAGAACAAGAATTATTCCGAAAAATGGACCATGTTTTTCAACATAAAAGCAGATTTTTCTCGAAAATGGTCATCTTAAGAGTTTATGACCAGGACTACCTTTTTTGTGTAGGAAACATTCGCGGTTTGAATGAGCGGGCCAAAACTGTCCTTTGTTCAGTGGCGTAGAAGTGGTGGAGAAAAACACCTACTACCCCTTCAAAAATCTTCACCAATTATCATATGAGAAAAACAAAAATTCATCACAAAACATAGCCTATTATGACGAAAGCTGTTTTTTGTGGGATGAATGGTTCCAAAGATATTCGCAAGAAACGAATTTCATTCGAAAATGGTGCATATTAGAGGGTAATATAGGAATATCATTAGAATAATATTATAGGTAAGTATAGGCATTTCTGGACGAGCTATCACATCCTGAAGTCCTGTCGTTAGGCTGCTGAATTTATAGGTGTCGCCTCAATTGGACGTGGAAAATTGGACGCACGACTATTGGTCGCAGTCAATTGGACGCGGCGACAATTGGACGCGGCGACAATTGGACGCGGCGACAATTGGACGCGGCGACAATTCGACGCGGCGCCATTTCGACGCGGCGACAATTGGACGCATGCGTAAATAAAAATAATTTTATAATTCCAATGAAATTCATTGTATAAAATATGAAATACTGATGGGCTTATATCCATAATTATAACAAATACCTATGGCCTCATTTGACAATTATTTTCCTATCTCATATCGTAATATGAATTTACGATACGAATATAGTACAATATTTTAGGTTATTTAGGTTAGGTTAGGTATTTGTTATATTATAGATATGAGCCCTGCATATTCCATGCAATAAATTTCATTGGAATTATAAAATTATTTTTATTTTCGCATGCGCTCAATTGTCGCCGCGTCCAATTTTCGTCGCGTCCAATTGTCGCCGCGTCCAATTGTCGCCGCGTCCAATTGTCGCCGCGTCCAATTGTCGCCGCGTCCAATTGTCGCCGCGTCCAATTATCCGCGTCCAATTTTCGTGCGTCCAATTGACCACGTCCAATTGTCGGTAATCCGAATTTATAACAATACGATTTTGACGTTTCACATTTCTTCCCTGATACTTCCTATTTTAGATCGGCAAAAAACATTTGTGTGTCTCACTTCCCTTTGTTTGCTCGTGCAGCTGATATCCATGAGCTCCTAAGCTCATTTTCTGTACTTGTGACTGAATATACTTTGTACCTTCGCCGAAAACAAAATTAGAAGCATGTTTTATTTTAATTTTTTCTCAACAACTACTTGTGATGAAATTTAGAGTGTACTTTTTTTTAAATATGATCTCTTATATACAGGGTTATTGGTAATTCGATACATTCCTTTGGGGATGTGATAGGGGATGTGGTAAGGAGTGAATTCAACCCTAATGTGGTTTGGAGATTTTTCTTAAAATAAAATGTTAAAATCTACAATTCACAAACAAAAATACGACTTTGTATTCACAATTCATCTATGATCTAAATTATTTCTGGATTTTTTTTCATTCCAAACATAAGACCATAGTGTTGATCATGTATTCTAGTTGAAAGGTTGAAAAAATGTAGAGCAGATTTTCGGGAAACTAATTTTCAAACCTCAAAGTCTACCTTTTGGAGAGAAACAGAAAATATTAAATATCTCAAAAACTATCAACATTTGAATTAACTCCTCACCACCTTCTCTATCACAACGCCAAAGGAATGTATCGAATTACCAGCAACCCTGTAGATTAAGTTGTCTTATAAAAAATTTTGAAGGTATGAATCGAGGTATAAATCCACTTCTAATTTTTCATTAGGTTGAAGAATAGAAAATTAATAATTCGAAAAACTTTCCCAAACTGATAATAATGTCAAATGAAACAAGTTATCAACAATGATAGTTAAAATTATTTTAGGAATTTCTCTGAAAATAATTCTCCTAGAAACCTACTAGGAATCCTTTTTCTTTAGTTATTTTAACAAAATTTCTGAAATTTTCTTTTTGGGTTTTCAACCAAGATAAATAATGCAACTAAGTGAAGAGAATAATTCTGGCATTTGAATGATTTTTTTTTATACAATTGATGTTGAAATTATAATGGTGCAAGGTTTTTGAAACATTCATGTTGTTTTTTACTTCTTGAAATCGAATTAAAAAATTGTGGAATTAGTATTTGCAACGCTTTTTTTAGGACAGCAGGACAGCGTGTACCTCGTGTACCTGTATACATAGAGATATCATGCAACGCGTGAGTTCCTATAACCTTTCGTACCTGTAATGTACCTAAATGAATGCTTTTTTGTGATATTAATATTTCAAGTAGTAGGAGTTCTATGTATTTATATATATTCATGAATATTAAACAATTGGTTTTGATATTTGTTGGATTTTTCTATTTCTAATCGCAATGACCATACTTAACCACATTGTGTCAAAATCCATGAATTAGTTGAAAATAAAAAAAGAATACGAGTGTGTATGCCAAGATGAATTTTATATCCGAGGTTATAACAACAAATATAAAATATATTCTCCTTCATGAGGCTTTATTTATTTTCATCGCCCTTTTTACTTCATCAGATTGTAAATATACACACATACCTACATATTGAATGTATTTATTATGTATCCCTCTTCTGATATAATTAGTTTCATGAGTAGGTATCTGAAAAACCTCAATGAAATTCACTTCAATGAATGAGATAAAATAATCAACGAATGCATCGGCGATCAATCAGGTCCGAAGTCAAGTCCAATCTTGTCCAATCCCGTCCAATCCCGCCCATTTCAGTCCATTTATGATTAATTATGTCCAATATTGAATAATATTGTCCAATCTAATGCAGTCGGTCCAATCTTCCACAGTCCGTCCAATCCCGTCCAGTCTTGTCCAATCCCAACCATTTGGATAGATTTTGTCCAGTTTATGTCCATTATTGTGAAATTTCATCAAATTAGGTCCATTACGTCCAATCCCGTCCAATATCAACAAATGCAGTCTTTGTGTACGTTTTCTGGACAAGTGGTTGACCCCTCGGTCAGTACGTCACACATACAACTTGATATATTAGAGAGACAAGAAACTGATGGTAAAATTATCGTCCACTTAGATGCTACCGGTAGTATAATTCGAAAAACACCATCGTGCCAAAAAAAATTTTGCTGTAAAGAATAACCATAAATGGCCGATATTTAGGACTTTAGTTTCGCTCTAATAAATGCCGTCTTGGTCTTTTGGAATAATATGAATATAAAAACCAATCTGAGTGTTGTATACGATATTGTGATAATGAAAAAAATTGACGACTCGAATAGTTTCATCACAATTCATATATGTTGCTCACACATTTTAAGAATTGTTGTCAATGATATAAAAAAAATGTTATTTTGACAATTACGAACAGAAGTATTATGAAGAAGTATTATGAAGAAGAGTACTCACATCTGTATTCAACATGAATGATTTCCACATATCTTATGCTTGGTTCGAACATTTCACAATACTTTTGAATCCCAAATATATGGTGAAAATG